TTAACATAAATTAGTTAGCTCAGTGTCCCGGCGCTCGCCTTTATTTCAATAGACTCGAGCAACCTGAGTTCGATCCCCGGTGCCGGCACCAATGAAGTTGTTAATTTTAAGTGCCGAATTATCACGTGCTTAGCGGTGAAGGAAAACATCGTGAGGAAATGAAATAATAACGAAAAAAAATATTTCGAAGATATGTGAAGTCCGCCAATCCGCAGTGGGGCCGCGAGGTGGACTATGCCCTGATGATATGATATATGATATGATACCCTCTGTATAGAGGAGGCCTTTGCCCAGCAGTGGGAAATGTACTGTGGGCTGATACTTTTTACATATATATTAAATTTGAGCGATTCATTTTATTTTATTTTTATAACTTCATCATCACTCTTATCAGTTGCATGGCAACAGTCAAATAAATTTTCAGGGTTTACTTTAACTGTCTCAATTTAAAAAAATCTAACGCCTCATATATTTCCAGTGTTTTCCTTTTCGCTGTATTAAGTAAATTAAGTATCAGCCTGTAAATGTCCCACTGCTGGGCAAAGCCTCCTCCAACGAGTGTATAAAGGTACAGTCCACCACGGGGCCCCACTGAGGATTGTTAGACTTCGAATTTTTTTGTTATTATTTCGAAGAATATGCAGGTTTCCTCACGACGTATTCCTTCACTGCAGAGCACTTGATAATTCAGCTCTTAAAATTAACAATTTCATTGGTGCCGGCACCGGGTATCGAACTCGGGTTGCTCGAGTATATTTAATTAAAGGTCAGCGCCCGAAAACTAAGCTATCGCGGCTTCTTCGCTGAGCAAGTGATAAATAAGAATTTAAAATTGCAATGAACAATTTCATCAGTGCCGGCACCGAGATTTGAACCGAGGTCTCTCGAGCATGCTAAATTAAAAGCGTGCGCCAGTACACTGAGATATCAAGGCTTTTTGATTTTTAGCAAAGGGCACAGAATCTGTCCCGTGATCATGAGCAAACAAAATGAACATGATATGATCAGAGTAACGCCCAAACGTGACAGCACACGTCACTTACACCTACAGTGATTTATGATGTCCTAGTAGCTATGACAGGGTTGAGATCTAAATCACTATATTGCGATACTTCAACAGTATAAGGTGACAAGCATAGCAGCCTTTTGACGGCTTAATAAGCTTCGTTAAAATTGAGAATCTTTAGCTAACCATGTACCCTTTCAAAGAATCAAAACATAAGTTGTAGATAAAAGAGAGTTCGCACAATCATCGACAATAGGTATTGTCACTACATAGTATAAAACAAAGTCGTCCCGCTGTGTGTCTGTCCCTATATATGCTTAGATCTTTAAAACTACTCAACGGATTTTGATACGGTATTCTTTAATAGATAGAGTAATACAAGACGTAGGTTTATATGTATAATTCATTCATAATATAGTAGAGAAACACTGCTTATTTAAGACACTTCTAATGCGATGTCAAAAACATATTCAGCATTGCACCCGTGCGAAACCGGGGCGGGTCGCTAGTTATCTATGAAGAATAAAATACGGGGGGATAATAAAGCTGCCGATCCAGAGATAATCTGTTGTCAATGAAGGGTGGTAGTCCCCGTCGTAGCGTAGATGATTTAGACCGTAGCCGCAGTATTATGCAAATAAATAATTAATTCAATGTTTAATGTATTTTTTATATCCGTCTACAAAACTACAAAATTTATTACATACGCCTACGGCACAAAAGTTTTGTTCAGTGTTGAAACATGATGAATTCGTGACTTTCTTCTAAAATGTAGTAGTCTATGATTCATTTTATTTTTAGTGCTTGTCTTTGCACTCAAGATGAAACGAAAAAAATTCAGAAGTTTTATAAATAGACAAATTTTATAAATTCAGTGAATAAAATATGTACATAAATATTTCCTTCTTTTATAAAAATATATTTACTAAAGGGAAAAATATATTTGTTCCAATACCTTATTATGATTGTCTTGAATGTCAGTAAAAAACTTGTTACTCTTAAAGATAATAAATAAGATCAAAGATTATTGTCATATGCTTATAATAAAAATTAGGAATTCTATACTTAGTAAATATACAACAATAACGCTTCAGTATGTGCAATAAGGTATATCCCTAAGTATTCAACGACTGGTAAAACAAGAGGCTCCATTGTCGAGTCTTGTATCTAGAGACATGACTGCACAATCTAATAAATGCGTATTTGATAGTCGAAAACGATCTTTATCGCTTGGATAGTAGAAACTCTCCGCATGCAAACATAAAGTATGTCCTCGATAGCCGACGCCAATATCTCTGAGAAGCTGGAATTGTACAAAAACGTTTTAATGCCTTGGGCATAAGGTTTAATGTTGATGTTAAATGGAAAACTGCAAACGCTACGAGATACGATGGTTAAGCGCTCGATGTACCCTTTATCTTAGATTAAAAAGGGGCTGGCCCCTCCTTCTCACAATGGCTAGGGTTGGTTAGAACAGGTGTTGAAAACACTTTTGAAAGTTGATTGACCCAACTATAGAGGTATGAAAGAACAATGGGACTTTGTTATCTCCGATCCAGACGGGGGACCAAAAGCACCTTCATTATAAAAAACCACTGATTTGAAAATCTCCTCGTTAAGGATTGTTAAGATCGATGATTAATTATTATACTTGACTTATCCGATGCTCTCAAACTTGAGAACAGCATGGTTATGGGATTGTATCTGAAATTCTTTTGTTCCTTATTGGCAAGGGAGATATTTCTTAATTCGACTTAGGGTTCCGCACTTTAAAGTTTTATAGAAAACGCTGAGAAAGACTATTAGAATCAGGGCATCTACTAAAAGGTGAACCCTAGGTCTAACGTAGGTGTGTTATGAAGCATGGTGTACCAAGATTATGACGATTATTGATTTGCAATAATTATCTTATTGCTCAGTAATTTGGTTAAGTTAATAAACTTTTGATTTCATATTTCTTTGTTTCATTAATTCAATCACTTTATGTAATAAAATGAGAAATATCATGATACTAGTTATTTAATACGACGCTTGGTATTAATTTGAACTGGTGTGCGTTCTAGTAGGGATGCTAAATGAAACCACTGTACTGATCGAAAGGTTAGATCTGCCAATTTAATTTACTGGGTATCGGATGACAAAAAATTACAATATTGCTTGGCCTTAGGTACAATACCTTATGCACAAACGTGTTTCAATTCGATCATAATGACCTCTGCTTACAAGAATATACACTCGATACATAAACGCTGACTTAGGGTGAATTGTGAACATACCACCCACCGTGATTTAGACTCGTGAATAGTATTGTCTATACCAAAAGCACGAGACATATTTAATACACATTAAATGAACAAGTTAATCGGTGCAAGCCAGATTTTTTCATTCTGCGATTTAATATTTGCTGTTATAGCGGCAACAAACAAATAATGTTTGAAAATTTCACCTAACTACCACGGTTCACGAGATACAGCCTGGTGACAGACGGACAGACAGACAGCGTAGTGTTAGTAGTACGGTCCCGTTTTACCCATTGTCTACGGAACCCTAATTAAGATAAGAACACAACGAAATATCTACGCTCTAATTGTAATGAGTTATTTATAATTATACATAGTCAAGACGTTTTAACTAATGTAGGTTTATAGCCTCGATGAACGTTTTGTCATGAATAAGACCCTTAATGTTTTGAAACGTTTTGCTCTAAAATCAATGTAATGCATTTATTTATTTAATTATTTTAAACACTATATACAGTTCGAGTAAAAGAAAAATCCAGTTTCTTCCGGTACGTTCCAAGCACTGATTACGCAAAAGTAACATTGTTAAAGTATAACACTTATTATTCACAACATATCCACTTAGATGCAGTTTTTTTACTATTTATGTAATGTAAAGTTTTAATATAAAGCTAAGTCAAGATTTAGCAAATAGTGAATATATGTTACACATAATTTCAGAAGCGTGTGATATTTGTGAAATGTACTGTGTCCATAGTATTGTATACACTCCATTGTTAAAACACTCAATCCCGTGATGTATACTATATAAGTGACTAGGGACCCGTCCCGGCTTCGAGAGGGTGCAATGCTGAATGTATGTTTTCGATAACACTGTTTCTTTACTATATTATGCATATACATATAAACCTTCCTCTTGATCACTCTATCTATTAAAGAAAACCGTACAAAATTCGTTGCGTTTTAAAGACCTAGGCATATATAGGAACAGACAGACAGCGGGACCACTTTGTTTTACACTATGTAGTAACATACCTTTGATAATAATGTACACAAAGCATGTAGTTCCCCGAGACTGAAATAGTAAAGTGAATCACGGTTTATGAATACACTTTAGGGTACGGTTTTGCGCAAATTGTCTGTTGAGTCAATTTACTATTTTTGTATTAGGAACCTGCCCGTACTTAAGCACTTTTTATACACAGCAGTCAAAATAAATAAATAGTGATGCAGCCGTAAATTATTAAATTCGATTCAATCGAGCTTTAATTCCACCCACGTCATATACGGAAGGAAAGACGGATGCTAGATTTTTTCTTATCTCTTTGCAATACAAATAATTAATTATGAAACAAAGTATTTGGTTCGAGTGTGTCGAATAACGTTAACGACCAAAGGAAACCGTGTGGAGGAAGTCACGTGTACAATATCATAAAGAGAGGCAGGGATAAATACAGGATTTTTATTGATCACACAGAAAAACGCTTGTTAAGAGTTCCTAAAGAAGAGTAATGAATAAAGAACAAAATCGTACTATAACAACATTGCCCAATTTTAAAAATTGTTTTGCGAACTGTCCTGACTTTAGGGGATTCCCTTGCGTCCTGCACAGTCTGTACATAAACCGGATGGTCTTTTCCTGCTATTCAGTGTCCGACCTGATCTTTAGCTTAAGCGTGTGGATTCGTCAAGAACATTTGATTTAATAAGAGATAGTATCAACCAAAAAGATTTTTTCATTTTAAATCGCAACCATGCCGATCGAGGTCAATGGAATCGAGCATCAGGATAAGAGCAAGGACGTGAGCTTGTCTTTCACAAAGGGGAACGACAAAGTAGCTGCGTTTGGATCCATGTCCGTTGAAGGGTTGAGGAATATTTATTTATGATTATCATTATCATAATTACGACTTTTGTTCCACTAGTGTGCGTTTAATCAATAACCGGTTTTAACCAACAACCTGAGTTATTCATAAATATTAAACGGGTAGAGATAGACGAAAGTTCTTTAAAAATGTGTCGTTTCATTAATCATGTTTCAAGGAAATATTGTTAGTTTTAATTTTTTTTGTTCATTCGAAATAAAAATTATTTTTATTCAATTTATAGAAAAGTAAGATCAAATTTTTATTTAAATTTTTTTATGTCTCTTCCATATTATCATACACCGGTATGATATTATACCCAACTGGTATAATGATTGATTATTATTATTTCGATTTTAAAATCAGGTTTTTCCGGTATTAAATTAAATTAATAACGGCTAGGTACCTATATTTAAAACGTATAAGTTATTATAAAAAATCAATATTAAATAAAATTGCCCAAAATGTTTTACTATGATATTTTAAAATCCTAAAACAAAAATGCGATATACATATATTTGACTTCTGTCATCATTAGGCCCTAATTCATCCCCCGTCGTCTTTCTTGATCGTTAAATATATATAATGATATGTAAATATAGTGAATAATGCATAGGAAAGAACCGTTAGAAACAAATCCTTTCTATCAAGTTGCTATTTGAACAGGAGGATTTTATTTCAATAAACCGATATGAAATATGTTTTAATATAGCGTATTTCGCAGAGACGTCGCCCACGCCGCTGCTTCCGCCGCCCACATACCAATTGCCAAAAGAACTGATTACTCGATATCCACGGGACTGAAACTACACGAAACACCGACATCCTCCTTCAGCGCAAACATTGGCGCCTCGAAAAGCGCCTCGCCTTTTGCCAAAGGGGATTGGCAGCCGAACGCCTTCTTCGTTTACCGAAAGAAATTTTAAGCAACCGAGAATTTAAACATCAACCTCTTATATAAATGTTTGTACATTTGGTGTATCGTTTCGTTTTTTTTGTTCAATAATTTTATTTGAATAAATGAATCCATACATTTCGTGCACGTTTTTATATATTAAAATAAACTAATAAGAAAGCAGTCATGATGATGATGCAGTCAGCTATAGCCCAAGCAGTCATGATGATGATGCAGTCAGCTATAGCCCAAAAAAAAAAAGACGAACCTGTTTTGCACGGGAAGTTAACAACCAATGTCCAATAGCTGTTATTTAAAAAATATGTACATCAGAATATACAACTTCGATTTAAACCGATAATATTCCAAAAAAAAAATTACTTAAAAGATACAAATTTCCAAGGAATACGAAAACAATTTTGTTCATAAACACCTAAGTCTGCATGGAATTTAGGAATTTTATATGCATTATCATAAATATACACTAAGACCTTTTTTCTTTTTTTTTTTTTTTTAATTTTTGGCCCAAATCACGCAAAATCACTAGGATCCTAATAAGAAAGATACTTATGGCGAACGTAATGAAAATGTTGAGATTCATAAAATTATGCTTCGAAATGAACATTTACTTAGGCGTGTTATTCGATTTTAGTAGGGAAAATTATTATCCAAGCACTAATACTTTAAGGACGGAGGGAAGCACTAAATATGCTTCAAAAACCGGCCAAGTGCGAGTCGGATTCGCGCGTGAAGAGTCCGTACCATTATCTACAAAAACGGCAAAAATCATGTCTCTTGTATGGAAGCCCCACTTAAATATTTTTTTATTCTGTTTTTTAGTATTTGTTGTTATTGCGACAGACAGACGATCAGAAATACATAAACTATGACAGATCTGGTGACAGACGGACATACAGACAGACAGCGGAGTCTTAGTAATACGGTCCCGCTTTACCCTTTGGGTACGGAACCTTAAAATCAAGTAAAGTATTTTGTAAAAATGTTCGTCTGGGCGCGTAATTCGTAAGACGCAAATTCTGTTACATTATTATTGTATACTTTACAGCTGATGCATTCCACCACTCTATAAAGGAGCTGTGTCAGCATATTTGTAGTTGCTAAGAATACGTACTAGCTAATGTCAGCATATTTGTAGTTCCTAAGAATACGTACTAGCTAAGCTAGCATTAGATATAACCTAGTTCCAGAACAGTCGTAAGACAGTCTCGATCCAGTCTCCATCCTGTCAATATTCCTATTCAATTTCTAATTCTATTTCCTAAGTTGTATTTTATAATGATTATAATATCAGTGTAACAAATAAAGTTATTTTTTAAAAAGGCTTTTGCAATATCCCTTATAACAGTTCGAATCTTGGTAGGGATGTAAAATGTTTTAACAATTTATCTACACATTTTAAGATTCACCTTAAGTGCAGATTACCACTAAGTACTAAAATTAATTATGAAAAAGTTGAACAACCTATTTCATCAATAAACTCGTAAATTGATTCTATATAATTCTTATGCTACGGTAAAGTAACACCGCTAAATATACTAGGACTGGTATTTCATAATAATATATCTTATATGTCTTATCAAGACGTACCTATGTTTTAACTGACTGTATTACTGCAGACATGTCGAAACTAACCATAAACTATTCAAAAGACAATAGTCCAATGTTGCCTTATCATTATGCCATAAATTTTCTAATAATAGTAAGATACACATTTAATACACATATATATATATATATATATATATATATATATATCTTCTAATATATAAAATTCTCGTGTCACGGGGTGTAACTTGAACTCCTCCGAAACTGCTCGACCGATTTTTACCAAATTTTATATGCGTATTCAGTAGGTTTGAGAATCGGCCAACATCTATTTTTCATCCCCATAAATGTTAAGGATAGTCCACCCCTAAATTTTATTTTTTTATTTTTTAGGCAAAATTTTTTGTTTTTATTTTTTTATGACACAGCATACAAAAATACATACAACCCAAAATTTACACCCCTCTACGCAGACGTAGTCGCGGGCAGCAGCTAGTATATATATATATAATTAAGTATTATAAGTAAAAGGAGCGACGGAAACAGTGACATCGTACTCAAATATGTTTGTGAAAAGCTCAAATTGAAAATTCCATTGTCGCTAAAAGCCTCGGGAATCCTTTAAGTGACTTACAAGAATATTGGAGGGATTAAACCAACCGGCGACTGAAGGGTTTCGTCTAGTCCCTCGTTCTATTTGAGTCGGAAAAGAGGAATCCTTAGAAAGCTTATATCTATTCGCAGGCAGCAGCTTTGAATAATATGCTTTACGTGTTTACGACATTTAAACTTACCTTATTTATGTTCAAATATCTATTTTATTTTGCGAACCGATCCGCAGTAGAAAAAAGTTAAACGATATGCATCAGAAGATAAGTACTCTGAAGTTCTAATGGAACATATATCTCGTAGATTCGATAAACGATTACCAAGAAATGTTCCTAAGTTGTAGCCTCATATTGGAAATTGCAATATAGGATGACTCTCCGCTAGATGGAGTGAAGTTAGTGTGATTTCGTTGGATGTAGGATCGTGCTTCGTGACAGTCTGTCAATGCTTTTCTCTAAGTCTTAACTGCCACCGCCCATTGATGAGTAAGGTAGACCAAAAGATGACCAGCTGAGCGATCCCGACAGAAAACATACTAACGATCACTAATTAGCTAGTTCTCCTTATGGTACTTAAGGAGCTTACATATTATGGCAATAGGCCTGTATTTGGACAGATTCGAGCGTTCAGCTTCTTGTGAAATTGAAGGTAAATAGATTCTTTATTTAAATAAAGAAATTAATTATATATTATATAATAAAGAAATTAGATTAGGTAAATTACATTATTTTAATTTATTATATTGAGGTTTTGTAGTGCTCATCTCCGCACTTTAAGTGAAAAAAAGTAAAGTAACAGCCTATACATGTCCCACTGCTGGGCAAAGGCCTCCTCTATACAGAGGGTGTCAGGGCATAGTCCACCACGCGGCCCCACTGCGGATTGGCGGACTTCACATATTTACGAAATATATTTTTTTTGTTATTATTTCGAAAATATGCAGGTTTTCTCACGATGTTTTCCTTCACCGCGGAGCACGTGATAAGTCAGCACTTAAAGTTAAAAACTTCATTGGTGCCGGCACCGGGGATCGAACTCAGGTTGCTCGAGTATATTGAATTTAAGGCGAGCGCTCGGACACTGAGCTATCACGGCTCATTATAACTAATATAATAGTATAGCTAAAGATAGTATAGAAACTGTAGTATGTTTGGTTATTTCTGTAGGTTAAGGTAAGTCGAGTTCCGATGACATTTTTACGATTTGTGAAATCAATACAATTTACTACACCTGCATGTAGTAAAATAATTAATCAGTACGCACCAATTATTATAAAAATATGACATTATACGATATTGAGAGCGAATCTTTATACGATATACAAAACAATTAATAGCAAGTGTGGCAGTAAGTGGCTATAAGCTAAGCTTCATTATTTCAGCCTGTTTGAGTCCACTGCTGAACGTAGGCCTCCCCCACTGATCCTGAGCCACATTCCCCCTCATGATGGAACCTAAGCTTAGCTTTATATTATTTAAAATAAAACTGGATGAAACAACATGATCATAATCGTAGTTCATATCACTTTAATTTTTTTTAAACCATTAAGAAAAAATGAGTAAAGCATTAGTACATGACTATACATGTAACGTCATGAAAATATATAAGGCAACCCAAACACATTGGCAGACCAAATTCCTTGCAACCACACATGAATTCCCTTACCGTTCGGAATTTCTTAGAGTTCCCGGATCGTCACACAAAGACATATTTCGGCTACCTCTCATCAGAGCTACGCCAACCGCAAAATAGGAATCGTCTTGCCTGATGAACGCTTGGCTTGTATGTGAACATTACACTTTTCTTATTAATGGAAAAATCATCACCGTACTTAATTTATAGAGGCGTTGTGTAACGCTTACTATGTGTTTCTCTATGTACTAGTTTACATGATAAATAGATAAACAGACATATTTAGAGATTTTTTTCTGAAACGTATATTAATAATGTTGTGTGAAATGTTTTTACTAAAGCAATAAGAATGGGTAGTTCCATAAATACGTATGTATCGCTTTTCACGGCATATAATAAAATTTTCCTTCATTAAATTTTACTTGCGACCCGTTCCGCCCAAACCTGTCGCTTAGAAACTGCGCTCAAGTCGTTTTGTATGTCTGTTCACTTATCACCAGCTAATGTTTAAGCGTTAGGGCTTTGCTGACATATTCACATATTGCAATTTTGTTTTAAAGAATGAATATATTGGCACAAGTTATTACTAAAATAAGGATGATTGCAGACAATTGCGATATGCGATGATTAATTGAATTAAGATCAATTGTCCAGTCCAAAGTTAAGACTATTAATTTGTGTTCGTTCAATTAATCTTGCAATTGATGTGCTTAACTTTGTACTTGAGGAATATACTTTGTATATTTCTTGTATGGATACTTTGGATATTTTTGATTACTAATTGTACATTTCGGAGGAATTCACTTTCATTCATTCCTTTCATTCTTAGGCACAGTGATAGCTCAGTGTCCGGGCGCTCACCGTTAATTCAATATACCTACTCGAGCAGCCGGAGTTCGGCACCAAAGAAATTGTTAATTTTAAGTGCCGAATTATCAGGTGCTCAGCGGTGAAGGAAAACATCGTGAGGAAACGAAATAATAACCAAAAAAAAATTTGGAAGATATGTGAAGTCCGCCAATCCGCTGTGCGGCCGCGTGGTGGACTATGCCCTGATACCCTCTGAACAAAGGAGGCCTTTGCCCAACAGTGGGGCATGTATAGGCTGATACTTTACTTTTACTTTTATTCTTACGCACAGTTGAATTCGAAGAAGTGATTATCGAGTGTAAAATATACACTCGGTAAATACTTCTGTGCGTATGTTATTTGTATTGACAG